CCCGGGGGGTTTCCCTTTGGGCCCCAGGCTTTTATATCCCTTTTTTTTGACTTAACTTAGTAAACATTCTACTGCCATTCTAGGCATGTCAAACCATTCCCTTACCAGTGCCCAGATCAATGCCAAACCTAAGCATACTGTGATGTAGCATTCCATAGAATGATTTTTCACCATGTGGAGGCAAACTGAGACAACTTTCAATCCTACATTATGCACTCATCACTGATTGGATCCTTTCTGGAATAGAGAGTTTTAAATTCCAGCAAAAACCAAACAGCCATCCCTAATGTAGACCTGAATGTACTGTGGCCATAACACACCAAAATCACTACATCAATATCTATTGCAAGGAGTGATGTATTTTGTCCCTCATTGTATTCAGAACTGCCCACAATCACTGCAAATAAGTTCTAGAAAACACCAAGTGCAGCTATGCTTGAGCAGTTCAGACCAAGGTTGAAAAAAAACTAATGGGATTCTCATTAATTCTAGAAGATCACCAACCAAATCATGAACAGAGGTAAAATGGCTGTGCCCACAATTATAAATGGCCCCGAGGTCATATCCTCCTTGAAAGATAAGGTGAACCTCTTCACTTCTATCTTTGCCTCTAACTCTACATTAGATGACAAAGCCCATCCCCTCCCCAAGTTCCCAAGTCTCACTGAGCATAATCTTAGTAATATTACCATCACAGCTCAAAAAGCTTCTAGACTTATTAAAGGGCTCAACCCTAAGAAAGCCACTGGCCCAGACAAAATTCCAGTGATTGTTCTTAAGAATATAAACTCGTAATTATCTCCAATCTTAGCAAAGTTATTCAACCGCTGCTTGAAGGAGGAATCCTTCCCAAGCTTGTGGAAAGTGTGAAACGTATGCCTGGTTTTTAAGGATGCGGGCACATGATCTGCCCACTCCCACTACACTCATCAGTCTCCTCAGTATCACCAGTAAGCTTTTTGAGGCCATAATCAATAAGAAGGTTGTCAAACACCTAGAAAACCTCTTCAGCCACAAATAGTATAGGTTTTGTTTAATTTATTTTCACCTTTCTTTATACATGTATTTTCACCTTTCTTTCTTTCTTTCTTTCTTTCTTTATACATGTATTTTTACCTTTCTTTTTTTCTTCTTTTTATACATGTATTTTCACCTTTCTTTCTTTATACATGTATTTTCACCTTTCTTTCTTTATACATGTATTTTCACCTTTCTTTCTTTATACATGTATTGTCACCTTTTTCTTTATACATGTATTTTTACCTTTCTTCTTTCTTCTTTTATACATGTATTTTCACCATTCTTTTTTTTCTTTCTTTCTTTATACCTGTATTTTCACCTTTCTTTCTTCCTTTCTTTATACCTGTGTTTTCACCTTTCTTTCTTCCTTTCTTTATACCTGTGTTTTCACCTTTCTTTCTTTCCTTTCTTTATACCTGTGTTTTCACCTTTCTTTCTTCCTTTCTTTATACCTGTGTTTTCACCTTTCTTTCTTCCTTTCTTTATACCTGTGTTTTCACCTTTCTTTCTTCCTTTCTTTATACCTGTGTTTTCACCTTTCTTTCTTCCTTTCTTTATACCTGTGTTTTCACCTTTTTTCTTCCTTTCTTTATACCTGTGTTTTCCCTTTCTTTCTTTCCTTTCTTTATACCTGTGTTTTCACCTTTCTTTCTTCCTTTCTTTATACCTGTGTTTTCACCTTTCTTTCTTTATACTTGTATTTTCACTTTTCTTTATTTCTTTCTTTCCTCACTCCTCTCAGATTTCCAAATTTACTTTTTTCTTATCTCTTTCTTTCCTAAATTCACTGTGTCTTTTCTTCTTCTGCCAAGTTGTTGATAACCAACTCATCTACCAATTGCTTGGAGCCATTTGAAATATGAAATTGCCTTTGCATACAAACAAACCCTAATGCCATTCATAATGCAGTAAATCTTATGCATAAAAAGTGAGCATAAAGTCTTACCCTGATTTTAAACATAGATACCACTTTGATACTGGTGACTGCAGTGCCACCGGTTCTAAAAAAATTCTATTTGATATAAATTATGTTTATATTTGAGTTTATTAGTTGACTTAAGTCTTGCTTATAATTGAGTCTATTGGTAGACATATATAGGTTGTATTTATGCTTGATTTCATTTGTAAATATAGGTAATCAAAAGTAAAGATTAGTCTGGTTTATACATCCAAAAATAAATTTCTTATATACCTACCCAAGAGTGCACTTAACTGGCCAAAATTGGTAACTACTGATGCTTTCTGAAATTTTTCAATTCATTTTCATTTCTATATTACTTCAAGTTTTTTTTTGTTATTTTATTTTACTTCCTTTTCTTCATAAATCTGAATATGTTTCCATTTCCAAATGTATGTTAGCATCCTGAGTATGACGATAAACTACTTCTGTGTTCTGGATAAGACGATAAACTACATCCAACAGCAAGGCCTCTGATCAGGAGGTTTTGAGGAGTGTGGAACAACCTCTTAATTGCTGGTGTTCCTAGGTCCACCCTGACCCAGGGTGGTAGCACCTGTTAGGGTCTAAGCTATGGGCAAATAGTTAACCCTGAAACTGAGGTAAAAAGTATTATAAAAGCATAAAAATGGGTTTTAATACCAGAGATACTTTGTAAAAGAATTGTTACCAGAAATAAATTTTTGAAGAAAAAAATCTATTACCAGCAATATATTTTTTTTTTAAATATTACCAGCAATATGTTTTTGATATGCCGTAAAACACAACAAACCAAAAACAAAACCCATTGTATGTTAACCATAGTTTGTTTTTATTAATTCTTGAATCTAATACCACCCCCAATCCCCTGTCATGCACTTAGTTGAAATGGTAGAAATTATAAATTAAGGAATGTATAATTGTTCACTTCAGGATCTTTTAGTCTTCATATAAGAGAAAGTTTGTCTCGGTACCTAAGGTCCCAGACTATTGTGATATTTCTGACTCAAGAAGTTGTATTGTCTTGATTTATGGGTAAACAAGACATGTACACTCAGAGTATCAAGCCTTTATCTTCTTTTCTGGATAATTTGTTCTTTTATTAAGGGTGGTACAGATAAACGTTTTCCGGGGGTTTGGTGTTATCCACCTGATAGTCAGGGTTCTGAAGCTTTGTGTAACCTTAAAGGAAACTATCCTATCAGCAGATGTATAATATCTGGGTTATTGTACTGCTATTTTGTGAATGGGTTCTGGACCGTGCAGTAGTCTCAAGTGGGGCTCGATGACATTATGAAGGGTACTGTTACAGCTGTACCTCCAGACAATTCAATCCAGGTTGTTGATGTATGCATCTCCCATGCTTGGATGTAATTGTCTCACTAACAAGTCTTCTCCTGAACACACTGATTTCTAAATTTGAATACAAGTAAATTGTGCAAAAAAATCAAACCCAACTTCACCAAAACAAAAGTAGACTCCAGGTTCATGATCACCTACACCAATCAGTGTGGGGAGTGTTACATAAAATTTCCAGAGATAGAATTCCATCTTCTCAATGCCAAACCTAACTTCTTATTCCTGTCTGAAACTGGTACTAATCCATCCAACCCAGTGCAGCAACTCACAATCCTGGACTACTTGTCCTCTCCAGTACGTACCTGACGCTTCCTGCTACCCTCTGCCTTTAGAGGCTGAAAATGGAGTACTGCTGGTTACTATTGTATAGTGAAGCAACTTAGAAATTTACTAAGCTGAAATTAGTCTGATATAAGGCCAAATACATGGAGTGCCTACAGAGAATCAAACTCATTACAACTGTAATAGTCTTTGAGACTGAATTACAAACAATCTCTTTGAAATTCTTAAAAGCTTATACACAGCATTTAAGCAAAAAAACCTTCAGGATTATGATGCATGGGTTTATTTGAAATGTTTTCATCATTTTGGCTGTTAAAGCAATAATATTTTAACTGTTGTACTATCCTGCCATTTTCATATGGTTGTTATATTTAGACATGTTCTCAGAATTTTGAACAATAAACTAGAGGATACAAGCATTAGATAAACATTGCAGTATTCTGGTAACCATGAGTTCAATCCTAGAGTCAGTCAGTGAAATCTAGCAGAACAAGTTGAAACTGCATCACAAGGAGTTAACAAAAAGACAAAATAAAAGAATTAACAAATACGAGTTATCTCAACTTGCAGAGACAGCAGAGTCCATATGGATTGAATAAAGGGTTCACTTTGAATGACAACATAACCCAGTGGTTCTCAAACAGGCTCCATATAGTCCCTGGGCCTCCATCTAACATTACTCAGCCTGCACACAAAAAAAAACTAGCAAATTGGGAGTCCATGGTAATATTTTAGAGCATTTTCACTTCAGAACGGTTATTACAACTGAGAATTGGAATTTCTACAATAATCTACGCTATATTAAAATACTAAAAATAGAAAAACAATTCTAAAACAAGCAGAAAACAACATCAAGTGATGTAAAGTTAGCTACTACTGATGTAAAAGTTTAAGGATATATAAGGAAGGATTATATATATATATATATATATATATATATATATATATATATATATATATATATATATATATATAAAGGAAATTTATATAAAAGATTATAATTCATTAATAATAAATAAAAATATTAATATAAATTACTATATATATATAGTAATGGACTCAGTCCAGTGAAAAGGGGTGATTTCTACTATCATTGACATCGATGGAATATAAAAATACTTGCAAAGCAGCATCAACCACAGGGATCTCATTGAATAAATTTGTACTTTTTTAAAATTTATTAATTACTAAGAAGTCTTCAAGCGATTTGGTCTTTGTTATTTGGTAAAGTTCTTTATTTGTGATTTTGTGTTGGTAGTCTGCAGGATCTAATGATGTTCAGAACAACCTAGGATTCACTGTGTTCATTCACTTGAATCATGGTCTGAGAAAATGGTTGCATATAGTTGATAGGTTTTGTGATGTCAATGAACACTCGGTTGACACTTTTGTGATGCCAATAAATACTCATTGTCACTTTTGTAATGCTTGTTGTAGTAGAGACTTTGTAATCACAGATACAACTATAGTACACTGCTGAACAATACTAGTATCAGACACCTTCGAATACCACTTGCACTAATAGTAGTTGCTCAATAATACTCACTCAAATAGTAATCCATCTAGTGATCTGAAAAGAGTAATAGTATAGTGAATAAAGTAGAGAATAAAAATCCAAATAGTAATAGAGGATAGAATAGAATAGCAATCATTTAAATGTCACCTGACTTCCTTCTTATGCATTTCCTCTATGGTCATGTGGTCCACTTAATTCAATAATGGTATCACCTGTGTTTGTTCATTGGTGATCTATGTTCAAACTCAAGTGTCACATCCATATGAGAGTCTAGATCTGATGAGGTTATTTAAGAGCAAAACACAACCTAAGAGGTTGTGTCTTGCCTAACTCCTACCATCATGCTCTGTTATGTAGCATCTTGTGGTGTATGACAAAACTACCCTTAACACAGATTATTCTGTGTTCTGTTTCCTTACCTCCTATACTAAATTTGTTATAACTGATCCATACACTGAACTGATATGCAATGTTTAATCTCTCAGCAAGTGTTCAACAGTTTTATCACAGAAAAAGTAAAAACTTGAAATGGCAATATACCAACAAATTCTGAGAATACCATAGAAAGATTATATGAGAATTGAACCATTTTTAAAAAGACTAGAAACTACAGTGAAATTGTTAATAATCACAAAGCAACAGTTGAAATTCTGGATTTTTGGACACATAATAAGCAAGGAAGTCATGGGGAATCTAACACTTACATTGTGTCATTGCTAAAGCTGCTAGAAAATACTCATTGGTTCTTTGTACACCTCCAGAATGTACTTGACTTTTAATTACATCTTCTAACTTTACAAGGGTCAGATCATACCCAAAATGGAGTATTGCTGATATTCAGTCTTGATGAGTGGTCAGACTCTCAATGAAGGTTATTGCCTTGAATGTCTCTTGGGACTAATGCTAACTCCAGACCTCAAATGTAACTTGAATATTCATAAACATGTTAGAAAGAATGGGCAGTTTCTTGCATCACTAGAAAATACCTAACTCCTACCATCATGCTCTGTCTTTACAAAAATCAGATCAGGCCAAAATGGAATATTGCTACCATATTTAGGCTGGTGCTGCACCGTTCTCACTATTCAGCTTTGACAGAGTTCAAAAGTGGGTGATGAATTATTTTCCATCTCGCAACCCCTTTTCCACAGAAGAAATGTTGCTAGCTGCTTGCTAAAATGTCACTATTTTCATGACAATTGTTTAGAGAAGCTACATATTACTTAGCTCAGACCTTCATATTTAGGACCTGCCATGACATATACACAATTTCAAATCATCCTGATTCCATTCATATTCCTTTGGTAAGGACAAAGTTCCACTCAGACAACTTCTTCCTCAGAATTGTCACTTTATGGAGCAGATTCCTGAGAGGATGTTTTCCAAACCACTACAATCTTAATTTCTTCAAATGTAGGGTCAGTTGTTAGCTGTAAAAAAAATATGCACTTTTTACCGCCTCCTTTTATGCACTTCCAACAATCTCATTCAGTACCTACTTGTAACACTGGCTCATTTTATACTGAGGAACAAAAAAATATATAAAAAACAATAGAAAATACAAGTGAGAAACCTACTTGACAAATTTGAGCAAATGCATGGTGGAACAAGTACAATAAAAATCAAAGATGGATTGTAAAGGAAGTATTTCTGAAAACAACCAAAATAGAACTTATACAAGTTATCAAAATACTAACACATAAGAACACAAGCAAGCAACAAAAATATAACCTGATTAGTACCCAAATATAGCTGTTTATAT